CCTAGGCCGTGTCTGTAGGGTGGATGTTGTATCCACTATGTCTGGGGACATGTCCGAGGTCCAGTAGGATCAGTTACCTTCGTGAGACCCGGCCGTCAGACACTTCAGACCACCTATAGCCCCCATAGCTGGCTCGTCTGGCCCTAACGCTCGGTCCACGAGGTGACCCTGGACCACCAAGCCACACACCACTACCAGCCCCCATCATTGGTGGATGAGTGTCTAACTCAGTAGGGCTATATTTGTGTGGTGGAATTAACCCACTGGGATCTCCAGAGTTCGTCAGATAGTACTCCATGGTGGCTGGACCCCATGGCTGTTGCTTGAGTATCACTCCTGACGACTGAGTGTTGTAGTGGCAGTTGCCTAGTATTTATGGTGCTAAGTGACTATCATAGTTGTGCTATTGAGTATGTCCACCCAGTAGGGTTGGAAGTGTATTGAATATGTCCACCCAGTAATGGTGTGAGTATGTTGAGCCTGAGGGCCTAGTAATAGATTTCGTCTGTTAGTACAAACCAATTTTTTCTTCTAATTTCATATTCATGTTTAAATAAACTTTGTATTTGTATAATTGTGTATATTATTTACCTACAGTATTTACCGTTATTTCTTCCCTATTGCTTGATACTATCATTACACCTACCCACGAGCCTCCTATCGTCACGCTACCAATGGTGATATATAACAGTAAAAGGAATTGTTGGTGGCAGTAGCAGCCCTCATAAATGGTGGCAGCTCAAGCCCTAGGGATTTCAACTTCAGAAATATTGACTGGGACAACATTGTAGGCGACTATGAATCTGAAGACTTCCTAGACGCAGTACAGGACAATTTTTTGAAACAACTAATTACAGAACCTACTAGAGGTAACAATATATTAGACCTAGTATGAACAAATAAAGAAAATATTATCAGAGATATCACAATAGGGGAAGAACTAGGTAATAGTGATCACAGAGAAATCAGGTTCACCCTAAATTGGGAAACGAAAAACAATGACAATATGGTTAGAGTCCCAAACTTTCGGTTGGCGGATTATCAGGGGTTAAGAAGGTACCTAGGTGAGGTCACCTGGGAACAGTCATGTCAGTTCCCAGGAGGAAGGGGTGAGGTCATAGATGACACAACAATTGATCATGACTATAATATATTCACTAGTATACTACATAAAGCACAAGAACAAAATATACCACACAGAAAAATTAGGTCAAATAAGAATGAGCCAAGGTGGATGACCAGAAAACTTAAACATGACATAGGAATAAAGAAAGGAATATATAAGAAATTAAAGGGAGGGGAGGAGCAGCTCAGAAACAGGTATAATGAACTATCTAGGAATGTTAAGAAAAATGTAAGGAAAGCAAAGAGAGACTATGAAATCAAAATAGCAAGAGAATCCAAGGCGAATCCCAAGGGATTTTTCCAGGTATATAGGACAAAGGTCAAGGACAAAGTTGGGCCTTTAAAGTCAGGGAGGGGAGAATTGATAAATGGCTGTGAAGAAATAAGCAAAGCATTGAACAGCTACTTCTTATCAGTTTTCACAGAAGAAATTTGCGATGAAATTCCGGAGGTGGAACTGATATTTAAGGGAAAGGAAGAAGAGAAATTAAAGAATATCACTATCAGAAAAGAGGATGTTCTTAAGAAGATAAATAAACTAAAGAATACAAAATCCCCAGGGCCGGATGAAATTTTTCCTCGAGTCTTAAAAGAGTGTAGGGAACAGATTAGCAGACCCCTCGTAAACTTATTTACAAAATCATTAGACACTGGAGTTGTGCCAGAGTTGTGGAAACAAGCAAATGTAGTACCCATATTCAAAAAGGGAGACAGAGCATCAGCGTCAAATTGCCGGCCGATCAGTTTGACGTCAGTAGTGAGGATATTTCTTGAATCAATTATAGCAGATAGCATCCGATCGCATCTAGAGAAAAGCAAATTAATCTACGACTCTCAACATGGGTTTACAAAGGGAAAATCTTGTCTAACAAATCTGCTAACGTTTTTTAGGAAAGTCTTCGAGGTAGTAGATAATGACGAAAATTACGATGTTATTTACTTAGACTTTAGCAAAGCATTTGACAGAGTACCGCATCAGAGGCTTCTGAGAAAAATTAAGGCTCATGGTATCGAGGGGAAAGTTTTAAATTGGATAAAATCATGGCTCACCGATAGAACGCAGAGGGTCAGCGTAGATGGTGTTAAATCTGAGTGGGGTCGTGTAACCAGTGGGGTTCCCCAGGGGTCAGTACTAGGCCCACTCTTGTTCATAAACTACTTAAACGATCTAGATACTGGGATCAGCAGTGACATAAGCAAGTTTGCGGATGACACCAAAATAGGGCGGCAGATTAATTCAGGGCAGGATGCAAATGCATTACAGGAGGATCTAAATAAACTGCAGGGGGTGGTCTGAAAATGGCAAATGAAATTCAACACCAGCAAGTGCAGCGTACTTAATATTGGAAGAACAAATACTTATAATGTATACAGCCTTAACAACATCAACCTAGAGAAGTCGACTTGTGAAAGAGACTTAGGGGTACTTGTAAGCCCGGACCTACGGCCTAGAAAACAGTGCGTTAATGTTCGAAATAAGGCATACAGAGTATTGGGTTTTATATCTAGAAGTGTAAGTAACAAGAGTGCAGAGGTCTTATTGCAACTATATCTTGCGCTAGTTAGGCCGCACCTCGATTATGCGGTTCAGTTCTGGTGCCCCTATTATAGAATGGATATAAATTCACTAGAGTCGGTTCAGCGAAGAATGACAAAAATGATTCCAGGACGTAGAAACCTTCCATATCAGGATAGGTTAAAGAAACTTAACTTGCATTCCCTAGAAAGACGAAGAGTGCGGGGAGATATGATAGAAGTATTTAAGTGGGTGAAAGGAATCAATAAAGGGATATAGATAAAGTTCTTATACTATCCGAGCAGGATAGGACTCGGAGCAACGGATTCAAGTTGGATAAGTTTAGGTTTAGGAGGGAGATAGGAAGAAACTGGTTCACAAATAGGGTGGTGGACGAGTGGAACAAGCTTAGCAACTTTGTAGTAAGTGCTGGAACTCTGGAAAGTTTCAAAAGGAGGCTAGATAGATTCATGGATGATAGAGAGTGGTAGTAACTCTCGACAGGAGCTGCCATGCACAGGCCAACCGGCCTATTGCAGACTCCTTATTTTCTTATGTTCTTATGTTCTTCTAGCTACAGCCGCAGCAAGCATACACCATCTCCTCCGCCGCTGCCTGGCGGCCCTTGCTCCCGCCGGCGAGCATGGCGACCCACAAGCTGTCCTTCCTCTGAGCATCCTCACCAACCAGCTCTCTCTACATCACGCTTGTAACCACGCTGCCACTTCCCAGCACCAAGCTGCATTGTACATCCAATATAACATGTATACAGAGAGCACATTGTGAGTTCCCTCTCTCCATCCCATCCTGAGTCCGAACAAACATCTCGTACCCCACACTGCCTCCAACTTATACTCCCTCACGCAAGCGGTGTTTAGCCACTGCACCTATTCTCTCCTCCTAAAATTCTCTTCAATCCTCCCTGTATCCTTCCCCTGAACCTCCTTCCCCCCTGTCACTAGCATTTCATGTTCATGTGATGTGGCTGTACGCTGATTGGCTGGTAGGAGCGCGGCCGGAGCTCAGTTGGGAGTTGTAGGGGAGAGGATCCACTACAATATAACCACCTTCAGTGATGGATATAATTTATGGCGGTTCAAACACCTCCCTTTTGGTTTGTCAGCCAGCCCAGCCGTTTTTCTAGGGAAGTAAACAGGGTCTTAGCTCCTTTAGCGGAAGAAGATTGGATCAGGAACTATCTAGATGATGTCATAGTGTGGGCTAATGATTTCAATACCCTCATGGGCAGATTGGCTAAAGTATTTGACAGGTTTGTAAATATGGGAATCAAATTAAACCTATCTAAATGTCAGTTTGGTCAAAGACAAGTAAAATTCTTGGGACATATTGTTTCAGAGAAAGGCATTGACCCGGATCCAGAGAATGTAAAAGCAGTAACAGAGTGTAAACCACCCACTAATGTCAAACAAGTCCGACAATTTTTAGGGATGTGTGGGTTTTATCGTAAGCATGTTTCAAATTTTGCTAAGATTGCATATCCTATCACAGAACTCACTAAGAAACCGGCTGCCTTTGCTTGGACAGATGAATGCCAGACAGCTTTTGAAACTGTAAAGCGGACATTAGCTTCCTTTCCAGTACTGGTAAAAGTAGACATGGATAAACCATTTGAGCTACACAGTGATGCTAGTAATTTTTGTGTAGGAGCATCACTGAATCAATTACAGGATGACAGTTCTTTACGTCCTGTTGGGTATTTCTCTCGGAAGCTAAAGCCCGCGGAAACACGGTATTCCACCACTGACCAAGAAGCATTAGGAATAGTGTTAGCCTGTAGGTTTTTCCATCATTTTTTGTGGGGGTTCCCAATTCACCATCAATACTTATTATTAAAGATGCAATATAGAAGCATTAACAGTATTATATACCCAGCAGAGTCATTCAACCTTGAGAAACAACACATTTTGTGCTATTTTTCCTGGTGTGACAGTTGTCCCATTTTTCTTGTCATTTTTCCGAGTTCCAATGCAGAGGCACGTGAAGATCATATAAAAATTTCTACTTTCCCTGAAGCAATTCATTCTCAGTTGATTTTTTCTTTTTTTCTCTTTACTTAGTTTCCTGTCCTAGAGGCATTGCAGATTTTATAATAATAAAAACAATAATATCCACAAATGAAATTCCCAAAACTGCCAGCACATTTACTATTAATATTATTTGGTTGAGTTTCTGTACACTGAATTAATTTTCAAGACATTGAATTGTTGTTTAATACCACTTAAAGGCAATTTACTTTATAATTTATCTTTTTGTTTTTGTTTGAGAAGTTGTGTCTGGCATTAGACCGTTGCTAAGGAACAAGTGTCAACAAGGTGCACTTTACCGTCAAACAAATTAGCTATTGATAATTTGATCTACTCCACAAGCTTATGTAAATACACAGTAATTTTGAAAGGATTAATTGAAACATGTTTATTTATAAAATAAGTAATCTGTGTGATGATATGTTATATCATATATTAATATAGAGAAACAAAGAAAATTTTGTTTAGCATTTCTGTGAAGCATTCCATAGCGGCTGGTCATGAGCGGCGGTGTCTACTTGGCTATGAACAAGAACTTCACATAATGTTCATATACCTTAGTAAGAAGGTGAGTTCACTGATTCAGATTTGGTAATATTCAAGTTTAAAACACTTGTTATGTATTAACTTATGACAGACTATAACTTTCATTACTAGTCCTCTCCACTTGCCACCTTAAGTCAGTCAGTTTGGTCTGTTGGGGTAATTATTTACTTCATATCCACTGATTTTATCATAGAAAACGTATTTAAAAATGACTCAATTTCACTGTTTTATGGTGGACACTATGTTAGTAGTTCTGACAAATGTGTTAAAAGTGTTTGGTGATTATTCTCGACTGACCGCGGTCGACTTTTCAAAGAATTTTTGGTAGATTTGCATTGTCACACCGTTCACTTTTAGCAAGTAAAAAACATATTTTTCTAGTGTATTTGTGTGTGTTTAGACCGAATATGACCTTCATTTTTGGCGGAAATTAGCCGTTTTTTTAGCGATTTTTTTTCGTTTGACGTTTTCCGAAAAAAAGTGGCTAAGCGACTAAAAAATACACAAAAAAACACTTGAAAAGCAAAAACCTAACCTAACCTAACCTAACTTAACTGACTCTCACCATATGATGGAATCACCTATTTCTTACCTTATTGGCCTGGTTCTTGTTCGTCGTTGCATTCTGGGATTCTTACACAACGCCACAAATGTTGTTCTTTGCGGTATTTACATTCAGTCTTGCTCTTAGTACACTTTACTGAGGTTGGAAGAACATCATGGGATCGAAAAAATGCTATAGTTTCTACGTTTTTTTTCCAAAAACTCGCAATCATCTCCATATACTTTAAGTGACATCCATCGCAGACTTCCATGGTCGGAACTGAACTTGAATTTCAAAATATGAGACCCAAAATAAAACTCGATTTTGATTGGGCCAAATATACTCTGAATTAAACCCAAAATCATTTTAATTGGTTCCAAAAGCAAAAACGCTTTTGATTGGCCGCGTGACGTGTACGGGTACGCATGCATGTCATGATTTATGAAGGAGACGCGAGAGACACTCAGTGTTGGGTGAGAGGCAGACGATAATGGCGGGAGGTTAATGGAAGAAAATATAAATTTTTTTGGAAAAGCTATCTCCGTTATTATACATTTCAGCCGGTAATGTAATAGATGAAAATTATCTTATAATTTGACGTCTTATTCGAATATGTTAATAGATTAGTGGTAGGAATGAACGGTGTGTAAACACAATAATACCGAATTTTTTTTGTATTGCATTTTCGCACCCTACATTCCTACCCCTAATCTATTATCATATTCGAATAAGACGTCTAATTATAAGATAATTTTCTTCTATTACATTACCCTCGCAAATGTATAATAACGGAGATAGCGTATCCAAAATTTTCCCTATTTTCTTCCATTAATCTTCTGCCATTATTGCTTACCTCACCTCCCACACTGCGTGTCGCCTTCATAAATCATTACGCACACGCGTTCCCGTACACGTCACTCAGCCAATCAAAAACGTTTTTTGGGGGGCAATCAATTAAAATGATTTGTGGTTTAATTCACGGTATTTTTGGCCCAATCAAATTCGATTTTTATTTTGGTTCTCATATTTCCAAATTCAAATTCATTTCCGACCATGGAAGTCTGCGATGGGTGTCACTTCAATTATATGGAGCTGATGGCGAGTTTTGGGGAAAAAAACGAAGAAACTATAGCATCTTTTAGATCTCATGGTGTTCTACCGACCTCAGTAAAGTGTCCTCAGTGTAAGAACGAATGTAAATATCGTCAAGATCAACATATGTGGCATTGTGGTAACTCGTCCCTTATCCCAAAGACAAAGAAGAGACGGCCAATAAGGTAAGAAATAGGTGATTCCATCATATGGTGAGAGTCAGTTAGGTTAGGTTTGGTTTATTTTTTCTCGTGTTTTTTTTTTGTATTTTGTATTCGCTTAGCATTTTTTTTTTGGAAGACGCCCCACGAAAAAAAGGACAATTTCCGACGGAATTGAAGGTCATAATTGGTCTAAATACACTAGAATAATATATTTTTTACTTTCTAACAGAGTTGGGTGCGCTTATGCAAATTTACCTTTTTTTTTTAAATGCGACAATTTCACTGGGTTTTTTTTATAGTGCAAGTGTAGTAAAAAGTGATTATTTCTAAATTAAACCTCACCTAACCGTAGTGGGTATGAAAAACAGACCTCAACAACCTAACCAAACAAACCTACCTAACCTTACCTAACTTCCTTATGGACCCCCCAGCATATTAAAAAAAAATTTGTGGACATTAGAGCATCGGCTTTTATCCAGCCCGGGCGGCGGAGTGTTTTAAAATACGTCATATACTACAGATTTTGCACACAAATCCAGTTCAGTTTGACAATATTGCTGTGAAAAGTACTTTCTTAGAAAGATGTTTATAAATAAAAGTACAATACTGGGTTTAATCTTGGCATTTTCAAGCCAAGTTCCTTTATAAGCACTAGAACTGTAGCACAAGACCAACAACAACCTTCACACGCCATGATGAAAATGATACCGGGGCGGGAATGAGAGGCTAATGCGGCAAAGAGTGCGGCCGCATTACCGCCGGGAAGACAAAGTAGTGCACACCTAGGCGCCTAATTATCTACAAAACGAAGCATTTGCACAAGAAATAATTATCATATCAGAACTCATTGATGAAAATAAAGTAAGAAAATAAACAGTAAAACAAATAACTCGTCGGCAGGTCATTCGTCAATATTAGCCAAATGTTTATTTAAAAGTTCAAGTTAACTTAACCTAACCTAACCTAACCAAACCAAACCAAACCAAATGGTAAATTTTCACTTGTTGCCATTATACAAAATAGAAGTGTTATGAACGAATTTTACCTTTATTTCTGGCTCAAATCGATAGTTTCTGAGATAAGCCCCCATCTCCCATCTCAGAATCTAGAGATTTGCTATAAAAATCAAGGTAAAAAGTGTTCAGACCACATCAAAAACTATCGGAAAATAGTTTTGAACCTAACCTAACCTAACCAGGGGGCTCCAGAGTTATTCAATGTTCTGGGTATGTACCACCATGTTCAAACACACACAATAAAATATTAAATATCTCGCTTAAATGTAATTTGTGCCAGAAATGACACTTGTCTTCGAATTGTCAAAATTACTGATTGCAACTATAAAATCCCGAGATATGTTTAGTTGCAACAAGTGAAGTAATACCAACCTAACCTTATCTTAAACTAACCTGCTTAGCTGATTACTAAGCTACCTCTGAAGAGTTGGGTGTCTGCCGTATGGACATTAATCGTCTTGGGTTATCATTATCAGTACAGTATGACCTATGACCTAGCTTATGGTTATTTTTCAACACATAATATTATGTACAGTAGATATACAAGTGATATCTCCATTAGCTGGTATAATTGGTGCAAAGCACTTCCGGGAATGAGAGATTTCCGGGAAACAAGATGACTCTCTCAAATCCGGAAAAAATCTCTCATCCCTGAAATTTTCCGGGTAATGGGAAAATTTTCTTGAAAGTTCCAAAAATTGCGCATTAGATCATCTCTCAAACCCAGAATAAAAATCCCCCGTCCTTGGAATTTTCCAGAAAATGTGCCGCTTGGAAAAAAATTTCCAAAGCCATAATTTTCTGAAAAATTCTGGCTTTGGGAACGATTTTCCGGGAAAATTTCAATTTTGGATACCGGAGAGTTCCAGTTAAAAGGGATTTCGGTTAATGGAGATATTACTGGATGACATTTTCTTCTTTTTTTTTTTTACTCTGTTACATGCGCATACAATCGTTCATACAGAATGCACAAATAAATTATTATAAGGTCAAAAACATAAAGATGTAAAGATAATAAACATTTCTAACGTGCACAGGAGTTGCACACAGAGTGGAGGAGGGGGAACAGCATGGTGGATCTCTCAGCTGTTCACTATCTTATGTGCCATGTGTAGTGATATGATTGCTAAATGGCAACGCGGTAATTTTTATTAGATTTTATTTTATTATTATTATTATTATTATTATTACCATTACCTGTATTATTTTTAATATTTATATTTATTCCTCTCATTTACTCGTACAGTATACATGCAACACAGTTCAGCCAGGCAGTCATCAAGCTGACTCCAGAGATGTGTGTGGCTGCTGCCTGTATGCCTTGACGTCACATAGGATGGTGGGGGGGGGGGGTGCAGCTGGCCAAAGTTACAGCTCACTGGCTCAGTACATATAGTCACTTCCCACACATACACACCCATGCTCTTCATTTTTCTTATTTTAAAGTTTTTTTATTAAATTTTCTTTATTTCTAAGCCACATTAGAGTATTGTAATGGTGCACACTTGGAACACACAATCCCTAGTTTTTTGGACTAACGTGGCGACTTTTTGCCAGTGCGTCGTACATTGCTAAACCGAATTTTAACAAATCATTAAACAAGAAAGGGTGTTAAAAACTTCAAATAGCTAAACCGAAATATTGCTAGTTGAATGAACGTTAATCAAGGCATACCTGTTAAACCAAATTTAGCAGAGGAACTGTACTTTACAATTTTGTCTTTTCCTCTAGGTTTACCTTTAAATAAATATGGTCTGTGGCTAACCTTCACCTGACGATGCCAAGTTTGAGGTTGAGCTTTTGAAAAATGCTTCCTGGCAATGTGAATGCGAAACAATGGAATGCTTCACAACAAATTTTCCTCATGAACTAAAAAATTAACATCTTAACCTATGAGGAACCTAACTACCTATCCTGCCTTAACCACCTAACCTTACTTAAGCTACCTAACCAAACTTAACTTAACCAAATCTAACGTAACCTGGCACTGTTCATATGTATGGAAAGAGATTGGTGGGAAGGGTTCACATGACTCTAGTGTATCACCAAACATATTTTATGAAAATTGCAAATCCTTTTCCTTTTTTAAATATTCATAACATAGGGAAGAATTTATCGTTGTCTATACAAAATTTTTGTAGAGTTGCTGTCTCTTGGTGAGCATAAAAATGAAGTGTTAATGTCTATGAAACATTCTTGCTCTTGTTAATATTTTAACTGCAAGTATGGCATTATCATCAGATGCCATGAGGCATCTTTATTGGTATTTATGGGAAAACTGAGGAAAACCAAAATATGAAAAGTGCTTTTCCTCCATCCAATTTGGTCCATTCTTGAGATAAGAAATACTGTAGTATTCTTCAATATAGAGTTTATTTTAGGTAACTGATTAACCCAGAGCTGTTCTAGAAAATTACCTTAAAATACAAGAAAATTAGATAAAGATTTCCATCTGTATTTGAATCACATAGGACTCTGACTCCAACTTGAATTTCTTCAAAAGTATTAAAAACATGGAGTAGTAGCTCCTAGGTCATTAAAACAAATGCCTATAGAATACAGTTTGTTAGAAAACAGTGTACCAATATACAAAGCTGAATGATGGGTTAACACTTAAAACCTAAAATGACAGAGCCTTGACATTTGAATGGCAAGGTGTGTATACAGTACTATAATGTGAAACCGTGGGCTCATTTCAGACCTTCATTTAATGGCATTATTGACCTTCAGTTATCCCCTTTTAAGGGCAATGGTTGCTATGCGGAGGTCAGGGGTGGATCCAAGAATATTAAGGGGGCGAAGTTGTATGTGGGGAAACATGGCGAGCATAGCGAGTCCACCCGGCTATTGTGAAATCTGACCAATATTATGGGCCTTTTGAAGCCATTTGCACTTGATATTAGGAGATATTTTGAGGTCAATAATAATTACTACTTGCTATACAAAAAGGCCTGAGTACAATACTGCATTAAATAAAAAGTATTGGAATTTTCTGATTAATAGGGGTCCAGGCCCCAGGACCCCCCTCCTTGGATCTGCCCCTAGAGGTAAGTAATCAGATAATAGAAACTAATTTTAAGATTATATGCCCAGCTGCCAATGCCAGGGTACCCTGGGTCCAATCTGAAGGTATGATGATATCTGGTATAGTACAGCTGTACATGAACTACCCAGCTACTACACATATACAGGTACAGTATTAGCTGTACTGTACTGTATTTTCATTAATGTTATTTTAGTGCTGTATGTAAATATGTAATCTCAGTTTAGATTTTTTTCATAGTGTCAATTCATCAAAAGATATATAGGGGGTGCTGGTGGTAGAGTGGTACCGCTCTTGCCTTCGCAAGCGAGATGTCACGGGTTCGATTCCTGGGCCGGTGGAAGTTGTTTGGACACACTTCCTAGCCCCCATTAGTCCCTGTTCACCTAGCAGTAAAGTAGGTACCTGTTGGAAGTCGAAAGTTGCGAATTCGTATTCAGGGACAAGTTGTTGGAGCTTCCAATAACTTGATGACACAAACCATTGACTCTTCAGGCTTCTATGCCCTTGACTCTTTAGGCTTCTATGCCCTTAACTCATGAGACATAAAGGCAAGCATGAACTTAGCATGCTTCCATGTTGGGCACTGTAAATGCTTCTGCTCTTCACCTTACACAAGGATGTAGGGGAGTGCCCAATAAATAAATAAAAAAAAATCAAAAGATTGATAACTTTAATTTTTACTTGCAGATCGCTATTCCCAACAATACTCGTTTACGATGTGTAGGTTGGAACAAAGACCAGGGATACATTGCCTGTGGCGGTGATGATGGCTTATTAAAAGTGCTCAAGCTGGAAGCTGGTACGTACTTTTCGGGTATCTTTTAGTACTATATTAACATATATGTATACTCTACCTGTATTAGATTTTTCTATAATCGTATTCCATTTATCTTCCATTACAAATATACATACTATATAAACATTTACCTTGCACTTCTGGACCATTTAATTGCTATTCTCTTCCTTATATTTAGAAAAGCACTTTTAGCAAGGCTTAAAATATGAAACGTGAAGTAGAATATGCTCGGTTGAATGTACATACCTGGAGCTGGTGGACTCTCGCCCCACAAGGGGTCACAGCTCAAGGATGAAGAAGCCACAAGTCCAGAAAACTGTGAGGGCAAATTTTTTTGGAGTGAGAATTGTGAACTCTTGGAACAATCTGCCAGAGTGTGTTGTGACAGCATCGAGTGTGAGCTCATTCAAGACCAGATTTGATCAACACTGGAGCAGGTAACAATATACGTATTCAGGAGCCAGTGCATATCAGAGACGTGACTGACTGCCCCAGTGGTTAATGAGCCGATCAGTTGCGAAGAGGATAAAGGTAAAAGTAAAAATCAGTGTGAAAGAGCCAAATGGCACTTTCTGTTTTCTTACTCATAATGACTCAAGCTTTTGTCATATTGCAGGCTCCTGGTTGTATGCAGGATTACATTACTGGGTGAGCCATGCATAAAAGTGATGAGTGTAACTTATGGTAAATACAGGCAACCCCCACGATACGGAATCCCGGGTTATGGAATTTTACCGTAAACAGAATTTTGAAATTGTGGCCAAAAAACTCATGATGCGGACAAAAAACTCGCCCTTGTAGAATTTTTGTGTGGATTCGTGTGGATTCTTGGTGGTAGCTTAAAGATGGTTGGAGGGCCGCTCACCTCCCCACTTGCCAGCAACCACCACAACAATGGCACAACTCAGTTTGAATTCTTGCCCCAGCTTGTGATCATTTATGTGTCTGTTCAGGACTGTTGTCGCTCCTATGGAATTATGATTAATATATTAAGATTTTCTAAAGAAAAATTCTGATATTGAAAAAAAAATTTCACCCAAATTATAACATTTATTTCGTGTGGACTCTGGTGGTAGCTACATGACCGCTGGTGTTGGGAGGATTACCTCTCCAGCTGCTAGCAACCACAACAACAATGGCGTTACTCAGTTTGAATTCATTCCCGAGTTTGTGTTCAGTTATTTGTCTGTGTTATTGTGTATCCTTATTCAAGATAAGTGGAAAAAGACCATCAAGTTCAAGTGAAAGCAGTGGTGATAAAAGATTCCATAAAGGAATTGCATTGGACATTAAACTTGATGTTTAAAGGAAGTAACTCTTAGTAACTCTTATCGCACCACCTCACCACCTCAAGCAGCGCTCAACATCATTTCTGGCAAGTTATATTCAAGTGTGTTCATTTATTGTCATATTACATCATGAATGAATCTTTGTATGTGTTACGTTTTGGGGCCGCAAAAAATTTCCTTAGGGACGCATCTCATCTTATATAATGGGAGTCAATGGGAAAATGATATTGCAATGTGGAATTTAATGTTTCAGAAAGATTTTCAGGAACGGAACCCTTCCATAACCCAGGGGATGCCTGTAATAGACCAAAATCCTAGCTTGCCAGATAGAAGAAATATTCATAAATATAAAATGTAAAAGTGTAAAGGTGGATCCCAAAGGCCTGATGGCCCATTTGGGGTAGTGCAGATACTGTATAGCAAACTGGAGACTTAAGCCTCTTTTCAGTACACAAGAAGAGAATGAGGGTGGCACTGCACTCAAATGTCTTCACTTTCCCAACTACAGAATACAGTTAGGTACCCTTTTCTTTGCTGGGTAAGCTGGGGATACCCTAGGTGCAAACCAGCGACCTATAGGACAATTGGGAAATGCAGTATCCACTTGGCCACCACCACCCTTAGAAAACCCTAATACAAATTCAGATTAAACAGTAAATGCTAGGATTATCCTAAGACATCATTCATGGGCACACTTAAGGCCATTGAAGGGCTCACACAGCACACTCTAGCTTTTCCACTATAAACTTTTGCTCTTTTTTATTTGTTATCATATGTACAGTCGACCCTCGTTAATTCGGACCCCTTTAATCCGGATTTCGGATAATTCGGACAAAATCTGAACAAACTTTTTTTTTGTAAGATTTGTAGGAATATTACCTACGCGGACCTTAAGCTAAAATGCTGGTCCACCCACTACTGGGATAAAACACCAGCGTCTTTTTGGTCAAATGTAACATCACCACTAGTGTGGGGGGGGATGCAACTTTTAGCTTCAGACATGAAAAATATTTACCATTTATTGCCAGTAAACAATGGAAACGTAAAATTTGTACCAATTAGTAATGAAAAGTTGTGCAGTTCCTTCAGCAAATGAGGCTCACCAACTTACAATAGGCTAAATTACCTTACAACTTGTTTTCAGTAGTCTATGTTGAAGTTCTTAGCACAGGCTAACTTATCATATCATATACGGTATCACAGTTCTCATTGATCTACAAAAAATACCGGTAATAAAAACCTTTTTGATATTTCACATTTGATATAATACCCGGTAATCTATTTCAACCTCCTATTGTTTACAACGACACATGACGCACCACCAGCTGTTGAGTATCAGCTACACGGTACACGTGTTTTTCGAATCGTTTTCAGTTAAAAAACTGTTACATCACATGTATATTTTACCTTAACTGTGCCTGAATGAATATATTCTCGGAAATAAATAGTAGTTTTGCTGAAACGTGATGTATTTTAATGTAAAATAGGATAAAATACATGACGAAAACAAAAGACTTTACCTAACCTTCCGATGTTCTAGAGAAGTTACTCGTTTTTTTAATAGTTTTTGGTTAAAATACTGTTATATTACAATGGTATTCTATTCATACTGTGCTTGATATAATGCATTCACGGAAATGTAATATTTTTGCTGAAATGACGTAGGTATTAGTGGAAAGTGGGATAAAATCGTGACAAAAACAATGACTTTCGCTTTCTTTCGTTCAAAAGATGTTAACGTAATCGCTTTTCGAATGGTTTTCAGTTAAAAATCTGTTGTATTACAATAATATTCTATCCTAATTGACTTGAATAAATACTACGATACCATATTTCTGAATATTTTCATTAAAATTCATCCAAATCATTTTCCTTGTCATCGTCTGCAGCACCAAACAGCTTCTCCCAGTCCTCTCCTTGAACAGGGCTAGAGAGTACGTGTTTTTCGAATCGTTTTCAGTTAAAAAAACTGTTACATCACACGTATATTTTACCTAAACTACCCCTGAATGAATATATTCTTGGAAATAAATAGTAGTTTTGCTGAAACGTGATGTATTTCAATGTAAAATAGGATAAAATACATGACGAAAACAAAAGACTTTACCTAAGCTTCCGATGTTCTTGAGATGTTATTCGTTTTTTTAGTAGTTTTCGGTTAAAATACTGTTATATTACAATGGTATTCTATTCATACTGTGCTTAATATAATACATTCACGGAAATGTAATATTTTTGCTGAAATTACGTACGTATTACAGTGGAAAGTGGGATAAAATCGTGATGAAAACAATGACTTTGAAATATAATGCAATATTAACCCCTAAATCGGTTAATTCGGACAATCGGCTAAAAGGACACCCTTCCCCCCCTATTAGTCCGAATTAACGAGGGTTGACTGTACTGTAATTCATTGTGGAAATTCAATGGAAAATAAAAGACCAAGAGCATAGTTCTCAGTGTGTTTGATAGAAAAATAAGGTAAAATCAGCATGCCCATATTTTATTATTAGTTAAATTTGTATAGGTAACCATATATGCTGCCTAGCTAATGTTATATAAATTCATTATCTTTGAAATATTTGCTGTTAAAAAAAAGGTAAAACAATGATTCAACCAATTAATTCTTTAGATTATAAAAACAATGCCATTTTTTTGCGGGGATTAGCCCACCTGGGCACAGGTCACTGACTCACATTGGGGCCTGCGGGGCAAAATTTTAATAACAATAATAATAATAACAATTAAAAAAAAAATTATAATAAAAATAATAACAACAATAATAATATAATAATAATAAAGAACCATAAATACAAAATTGAAAAAAGGTCAAGAGTGAGAAATGTTATACAATACAGGTATGTACCGTCTGTTGTGTTGTCAAGTGAGAGAAACAATTGACACCCTGCAATTGAGTGTAAATGAGGCAGAAAGTCAGATCAGCAACCTGGGACTTGGTCACAATTTTTGTGATGTCATGTGACAACAGGGTCTACCATTAGACAACACATTATGCTTCCAATATCTTCCCAGGCAGTAGTACCTCCCTGTTTCATAGCTGCCTACTACCTACTACATGTTGTCACCAAAATTATTCATTCAGTAGCCAATCCAACCTTTTCAATGAGAGTCTGTGTCCCTGTCTGGCATGGATGCCACAAGGTCTCCACCATTATGTCAAATAATGTAAAATTTGATTTGATAAATTGTTTTGTGAATTTATTAAACAAAACATTGACATCCTTTCCCAGTCCTTATTGAGAAATGGAAGTATTAGAGCTCTATTGTTGAACTGCTTGGGTGCTTGTTTGTGTGTGGGGACGATGACCGGACATCGACAAGTGTAGCCACTGCTTGAAGTTTTTTGCTTTATCTTGAAGATTTTGCCTCAACCTTGAAAGCTTGATTTTTTTTAAAATCTCGCCTGGTACATTGAAAAATTCTATAAATTTTGTCTAACTTTTTTATTAATTTTCTGTTTTTATATTTAAGAATCATAGTTAAGTTAGATATGACAATGTTCTTTTGGCACTTAGTTTGCTAAGTAATCTGGCATCCCTTCGCCCATGATTCACCAATTTTGCCTCTCTAAACAACATGAATCTTCCTTCTTTTATTTTGAAAGAAATGTAATTATTTTTTTTAAGTTACTGCAGTGCAGAAGCAACAATTAAATTGAATTACTAGATTATTACTACAGCACACCAGGGGTGT